CTCTCTCTCTCTCTCTCTCTCTCTGTGTATCAGGTACTAACCTGCGAAATGTGTCACCTTGATGCAGGCACGGACCGGCTGAAGACGAAGCTGGAGCCATGGCATCACATGTAAGTCATCAGGTGAGTCCCTCTGGCCTCCACCATCACCGGTCTCCCTCAACCCCCACTGCAGCAGAGCTGCCGTGGTCACTCCTGGCTGAAGACCTAACACAGCGCCCAGCGCTGGAGACTACAACGCTACCTATCTTGGACTGCTACTACTACCTACCGAAGGCCTAGGCAGTCCAGCTATAAATAGCGCTGGGACTGCCTGGAGGCCGACCATCGGGCCAGGGCCTCTACCGAACAGGCACCAAACTCGAAACTGTGGTGCCAACGGTCTTGGCGCCAAAATTGCTGCAGACTCGAATCAGGATCTGCGCGAAACTGGCCTAACGGGGCCTGAGTGGCGCTAGTCCTAACCTGAACCTACGGGGCCCTGAATGGGGCCGAACCGACACGGGGCCTGGCTGGACCTATTTACCCCCCTAACCCAACCCCTAGTCCTACCTGGATGGGCCCGGTAGGGCCTGTGTGGAACTCAGCATGCACCACTGGAGCTATCGCATCACAGGTAAGTCGCAGGTAAGTCCTCGTGGCCTCTGCCCATCTCTCACTCTCTCCTGCTTGCTGTATTGCAGCGGCAGCACTCCAACTCCTCGCTCGCACCCAGCGCTGTAGACTACTGTAACTGTGCCCAGCGCGTCGACCACTGAAGACTACTCACTACTACCTCAGAGCTACTGCTGAGAAGTGCCTAGCACTACCTCAGTGGACTGCCTGAAGAACTACCTGCCTGAGAATGAGGTCGACCCCAGCTAGGCCTAGTGTCCTAGGCGGAAAGGAAACAGTCTGGTCGAAAGAAAAACTGGTCTGGTGCCAAGAACATGAGTCTGTTCTGGCGCCAAAAACGAACAATGGCAAAAAGTAGGGACCAGGCGAAAATACAAAAAGTCTGGCGCTCAAATGGCAAAAGATGGCAAAGGTAGGAACCAGGTGAAAATACGAAAAGTCTGGCGCCCAAATGCAGAGGTCTGGCCGATGCCAAAAGTAGGAACCTGGTGAGAAGATGGCAAAACGAGATAGTGGCCTACTGGGTCCTACAGGTGACACAGACCCTAAACCCTACGAAACCTCTAACCCTACTGTCGGGCCCTGTGGGGGCCGTGTGGAACTGAGTATGCCACACTCTCTCTCTCTGAGTCCGTCTGTCTGTCTGTCTGTCTGTCTCTCTCTCTCTCTCTCTCTCTCTCTCTCTCTCTCTCTCTCTCTCTCTCTCT